ATAATTTTGTAATTACTGACAATTAATTTGTCGCGTTCGATGAGACAAGAAACGGAGCAGCTTAAGATAAGATGTTATCTTTTGGAAACGGATTAGCAGACATCACAAGCAGAATATATATTCATCTTCAAATTTCATCTGTATGAAGTTCTAAGGCAAGTAACAAATACCATACCGCTTGGATTGTTGATAACCTCTTTCTCACGGATCGTTTAGAGCCACTGGGTCTAGGGACGGATCTCGGTTTTCTCTGTATTTTGTATAGAATGTTCCATGGGGAGTGCTCTGAGGAATTGTTCGAGATAATCCCATCATCTCGTTTTTACCATCGCACGGCCCGCCATCGGAGCAGACTTCATCCGTACTTCACAGAACCAATGCGTTCATTCAGAGATCATTTCTGCCATGTACCATCCGGTTTTCGAATGAACTCCCTTCCTCGGAATTTCTTGAGCGCTATGACATATCTTTATTTAAACGAATATTCAGGAGAGTACTCAATGGTAGGAAGCGGCTTGGTCGTGCCCCTGGTATTGCTGATGACCATGAGCGACGGTAGACCCCCACCATCAGGTAGGCCGTATGCACGTCTACCTATAAGTAGAATAGAGATAGAATATATGATATAATAAAAAATATATGGAACTTCTTATTATATATATTTTATTCACATTTTTATTTTTTATTTTTTATTGCCCATTGTAGGCAGACGAGTATACGGCCCACCTGATGGTGAGTGGTTACCGTCGCCCATGGACTTCAGCAATGCCAGGGGCAGAGCCAAGCCGCTGCCTAAGTAGTTCATTTTACATATTTCAACATTTAGGTGAGCCGTTTAAACGCGGAAGTGTGGAAATACTGTTTCGAGTCAATAAACAAAATTCTTCGTATTTGCGTTCACCGGCCCTCTGAAATAGAGAATTCGGTATCAGAACTATAACGTCCAAAAGTGTCACTAAATAAACATGTAAAAACCAACTTTAACATGATAATTGTAAAGATAAAGTTCCCTTTGAACTTAGTTCGAAAAAACCGGCATAATGCCTCTGATAGCCAGATACTTTTGTTAATTAGGTTATCTCTCCGACGGCATCTACAAAGGGCTCGCGCTTAAAAAGCTAGTTGATATTAAAAATGCGGCTTGTAAATTTTATCATAAATCACCCTGTGGCGAAATCAAGGGGGCGCGCGAAATTTCGAACTAAGTTCCTACAAAAAATATGCAAGTAATGATGAAAGCTTGAGAGCTTTTTTGAGTCGTTTCGGACGGTGTGCTTAGAATTAATTATTTTGAAGTGAAGCCGGTAATGGTGATTTTATGTTGCCAATTCTCGTTTGTTACCTACTCACTTTTAATATTTTTGTGGTATTCTTAATTCTACGTTGGCATGACGAAATGTCGAAAATTCTGCACGTCACTATTTCAACTGAGGAATCTTTATTTGAAATAAATCCAATCGGTGTTGAAATATTAAAAAAAAAGCACTTTAGAGACTCGACTAAAGTGGAGGACTGGAATTTTGGTTGTTGTTGAAAAAGTTGAAAAAGCTAATCTTTTCTGTAGTATAGGTATTTCACAAAGTACCTAAGTCTTAGTAATTTATAACATCAATGACTTCTTAACTAGCTACACAAGATAGACGAGTTAGCGGTATCTTGAGAACATATACCTAATTATGATAAAATTTTAGATTGTAGAACATACCTGCTGCTACTAGAGTTAATTTTGCGGGTTCTATTTATTTATTTTTATCAGACAATGTTATTCCTTCATCGTGGAAGTCAGTCGTGAACATTTGTTAAATAGAACAAAGTAAGAAGATTAGAAGTATCAATACTTATAACTATGATAGTAAATAGAAATGAATGTTTAAAAATTATATGATTAAGATGAGAAATAAGCATTGTAACACTTTCTAATTTTTGAAGGAGTTATTTCACCATATTCTCTCTCTAAAACCTCATTCGTATTACTTCCTTCCTTCAGTCATACTCCTCCTGCCTGAGGGTCGTGACCACCTCCATCCATGAGTTTCATCCTCACGATGTTCGTATTACTAGGAATATTAAAAATAAGCCAATCGCTGGAAGCCTACTTTCTGTTTGCCTGTGAGTATTTAATTTAATTTTATACTTAAAATTCCATTTAATGTTGGTTACTGGTGGTAGGACCTCTTGCGAGTCCGCACGGGTAGGTACCACCGCCCTGCCTATTTCTGTCGTGAAGCAGTAATGCGTTTCGGTTTGAAGGGTGGGGCAGCCATTGTAACTATACTTGAGACCTTAGAACTTATATCTCAAGGTGTGTGGCGCATTTACGTTGTAGATGTCTATGGGCTCCAGTAACCACTTAACACCAGGTGGGCTGTGAGCTCGTCCACACATATAAGCAATAAAAAAAAAAGTTGATTCCCGATTATGTTAATCGCGAATCAACCATATATTACCTACATCAGAATAGTATGCACAGAAGGCGTAAATCTAATTGTACTGAAAACCTTTTCTCGTTGTCCTCGAATTCAGACAAGCGTACGTCTTACTCCATGGTGAGAAGTCATAGGTCCGGGCCGTGCCACTCTATAGTGTAGACTATTCTGGACGGTAGGAAGTACAAACAATCTACGGAAATTACTATGGATGCAGAATGGTTCTATCTAATTAGGATGACGATTTCCACGTACCATCCGGCTATGGAATGAGCTCCTCTCCACGGTGTTTCCCGAGCGCTAGGACATGTCCTTCTTCAAACGAGGCTTGTGGAGAGTATTAAGCGGTAGGCAGCGGCTTGGCTCTGCCCCTGGCATTGCCGAAGTCCATGGGCGACGGTAACCATTCACCATCAGGTGGGCCGTATGCTCGTATGCCTACAAGGGCAATAAAAAAAAAGACCTCTGCTCTCTGATAAGGCGGATAGGGCAAGACAATAGTAATATTATCATGTCAAACAATCGCTCAGGGAACTCCTGATGGAACGCATGGTTTAAAACGCAGCGAGTATTTAAGTCTTCTTGTCTTTCCTTTACCGTTCCCTTACTGCTAAGGATCATGACTACATTATAGACCACAAGTTTTCTTATAGATTCAGTATGATGTAAGATGTAATGTCTATGAGTTCCCCTCTCGTCTTCGTCTTCGTGTCTATGCCAATTAAAAATAAGAGTATTAATTTTTTCTAATATATTCATTGGGTAATGAAGTTCTACAACGCAGGCGTTAGTCCTTAAATTCAACGTTAATTTAGAGGAATAAGATGAGGGCCGTTAAAAAATTACGACTGTACATAATGAGGATGGGGTATCTCATCGAAACCAGAACGAGGCTTGTAATAAACATCGGCAGCCGCCTTATCGAGTGCCTCCTCGATAACCATCCGTGACGAATTCGTACCACAACGAACCACACGGACACATCACAGGCCGACGTGCCCTTGTAAACTGATATAACTTACGACATACTATCTTATGGTGTTGATCATAAAACACAAAATCGATTTTCGTGAATAAGGCTTGTAATACCGTTTTTAAATGGGTCGGAAATTTTTGACCGAGATATTAAATATGGATACGATTTCCAATTATATCGCGCTTGTAACGTTATCAGTTCGTTTTGGGATTTTTTGTCCCGAAATTTACATGAGAGTTTCAATTAAAATTAAAAAAAAACGTATGGGAATTTAAAAGTAACACATATTATGTTATGTACATATTATGTTTTAGTGTTAAGACATCCGTATTAAAAATAATATTTTCGAAAGTTCTAGCTGCTGTACACCCGTCAGGACAACCTGTACGGAAGAGGCGTCAGAAACCTTGGGGATCATATACCCCCTAAAATGCTGGGGGAGAAGGCAACGGGAAACCACTGCACTAATTTCCCGCGAGAGTCATGAGCAGGTCATATCCGACTGATGCATGACCACGATCACTCTGTCAAGAGTGTACGAATAGCTGCTGCATTAGCTCAATGGTTGTCCGGAAGAAAGATCGCTTTTAACCCTTAAACCGCCCAATGAGTGTAGCATAAGATTCTCATTAATTAGTAATTATTTTTTTATTGATCTTTTCAAAGCTGATCTTACCATTCGAGTGTTTTTTTTTGTAAATAATTCGAAAGCTTATTTTATTGTAAGCTAATTTCCACTAAAAAATAAAAATAAATAAATATACATTTGAAGCGAACCAAGAAAGCTTCTCAAATAATATTTTCACTACAAAACACCGTTTTTGTTGCAGTTCATCAACCTTATATTTCCCGGCGACCAGTTCATTGGAGAAACGGTATTGCTAGAAAAAAGCTTTAAGAAAAGACAAATCGTGACGATGGGCTTGTTCGAGTTTTTGCTTTTAAAAGTCAAATACTGCGCTTAAAATGTGGGTTAATTTAATATATTGTTAGAGCTGCTTTTTTGTTAGATTTTGAACCCGAAATAGTTCTTTAGGTGAGCGCAATGGAACGGTTTAGTGCAGAAAGCGTATAGTTTACTTATTTATAATTTACTTTTCTAGGTTGTGTATTGTTAATTCTAAATTGTAATTTACATTAAATATTATAGTAACAGTTCAAAAAAAAAAAACGGTTATTTATCATATACTTATAATACTGACGTTTCTAAAAAGAATATTTATCGTTAGGTAAAAGGTACGTATTCATACTCATCACTTGTTGAAATTATAATACCTACTCAGAATTTAATAATACTCATTTAACGCTGGATTGGTGTATAATTCAAATCTCTTTTTCTGTATCATCGTAATTTACATACGCTAAATAAAAAGCGGTGTCATCACAAAAGATATTTGGAGGCAATATAAACATAATATCAATTTAAATTCCTTGTTAGTGGAGCGAAAGCCGACATCATACCTGGAAGTGGGTGTTATCTATTGGTCGGTGGGTCCGCCAATCAGAGACGAGCAGAGGCTGGCTGTCGCGACGGGATATCCGGGCGGGCGGATCGGCCCTCGCGCTCGCCGCACCTCAGTTCCACTCCACACCTCGTACCGATGTGACGTGTCTGCACTCGTGCTAGTAAATCAAAATTTGATCACAGATATTTAGTTCCCCGTTCGGGAAAGTGAAAATGCCGCGACCTTCCCGCGATTCTTATGGTGATCAGAAGCCACCCTACTCATACATTTCTTTGACCGCGATGGCGATCTGGAGTTCCCCGGAGCGTATGCTGCCGCTGTCGGAGATCTACCGGTTCATCACGGATCGGTTCCCGTACTACCGGCGCAACACGCAGCGCTGGCAGAACTCGCTGCGACACAACCTGTCCTTCAACGACTGCTTCGTGAAGGTGCCGCGCCGCCCCGACCGCCCCGGCAAGGGCGCGTACTGGACCTTGCATCCCCAGGCGTTTGACATGTTCGAAAATGGCTCCCTACTTCGTCGGCGAAAACGTTTTAAGTTACAAAAGGGAGAAAAAGATAACTTGAATGCTGAATTAGCGGCTTTGGCGAATTTTAATCGGGCGTTTTTAGCCCGACAAGCGGCCGGGCCTCCGCCGCCTGCGAGTATACCTACAGCAACTTTGTACACATCACCGTTGTGCTCCCAACTAAGCCCAGAACCGGCAGAGCTTCCTGATGTTACTCCTATGACTATGTTGCCCAGAGAAAGACCGCGGAGGGCGTTTACGATCGATGCGTTACTGGAGCCAGATTCGCCTCGCTTGTCACCGTCGCCGCCACAGCCGATGATTAGCCTCGAGGCTCGCATGGCGGCTCCGTACGTCCTGGCCGCGCAACGCTACCACGCCGAGCTGCTGCAGGCCGCGGCGCACGCGCTTCGACCCTGCTATTTACCGCCGCCACCTTTACCGGTCGCGTGACATCACCCTACGCTAGCGCATACTCCTCAAAATACGTGCAATGTTAGATTGTAAGTACTCATTCTCTTTAAATAATTGTAAGAAACAGGCCAACGTTCAGCCTACCTCATTTATAACTAAAATCAAGGGTTCCGAAATTACATTAAGCTTATTAATTAAATCCAAAACAGATACCTATTTGTTGTAGACATCTACATTTTAATTTCGCTATTTCCAAATACAATTTGTTAATCTTTCATACGAATAGAATTCCGGTGAGGCCTAAATATCGAGCGCGCGTGTTTCCGTGACTCACACACGCTTCGAACCCTTTCCAGTTTGTGATCTCATTTTGTTTGTATTTACAATATCGCATTTCAAATTAAATATGCTTAACAAGTATTATAACTCGAAAATTCAATTCATTTAATACAATAAAAATACGTAATATATAAATTCGTAAAGGCCGTTGATTTATTTTAAAATTTGTTTAATAAATAATGTTGTTGTTTTAAATCTAGTATGCGATTTAGCATTTGATAAGGAGATTGTATTATTTAAGCATGTTAGTAGGGTTATTATTGTACAATACAAGTAGAATAAGACTTGTTATTTATTTTAGAGTTAAAAATCCTTCATTTTGTAAGAATTAATAATTGGATAATTTTGTAAATACTGTTATAATTTGACGTAGGAATATTAAAAATATCGAATTTAGAAAAAAAATCTTTCATTTGCATCGTTTATATTTTCTATACAGGGAAAATGGATGGTTTATTTTATGGGGTTAATTATAAACAAAATAATATCAAAATAAATAATGCTTTTTCCATAGACAATTATTTAGCTTTGAATTAGGATACTTTGCTGTCAAGGTTTTTTCTTTTACGTTAATTGTGTAAAAAAGGGAAATTATTGAACGTGTTTGGCCCTAATAGCGAGCTATAAATTGCATTCTCAAGACCATATTTCAGAACTCGAAGAATGCCAAAAGGATGAAAGAAGACACAAAATTAATTTAGAAATACAAAATTATCTGTTTGGAAAAGCACACCCTATATCCACTAACAGATAAAAAAAAAACAAAAGACAACTCGTCTTAAATAAATTGTGTTAAAACATTACTTCACCAATTTATTTTGTTATTAATGAAATTACGGATATTAATGAAAAACATTAACCAAAAATATCAGATTAAAATATATTTTTTAATTTAATTGTAACCTATCGCATTTTTATATTATTGAGACTGAAAGGACAATAAAGTTTGAACTCCAAATCGGGTAATCGACACATACCTATACACAGAACGTATTAAAACAGACAATAACTAACACGTCTGTCTTGAAATATTAAAAAAGCACTAAAGATTTGTTAAAATTCTTCACAATAAAAGCTTTAGATAAGAACACAGTTTTTTCTCTTTTTAATAATAAAAATACTTCTGTTTGTAATAAAGAATTAATATTAAAACGAAATCTTAAAAGCAAACATAGTTTCATATTAGTTATGTGTTCTGATAATAACGCATCAGCGCTTAGCAACTGTATAAATTTTCATTTGAATGATGTATAATAGTAATATGTGCACGAATACAATAATATATAATCAAATCTCTCTTAGTAATTATTCTTTCGTGAACATTTATTATCTTGATTTTATTCATGCAAACCACTATTTTGTATTTCAAAGAATGACACTAATAACATTATTACACATTGTTGTACTTAATGTGTTTATTGTGTTGTTTATTCAATTACCAAAAAAAAAAAACAAATAAATTTAAACTTTCCACTTATTTATTTGTCCATGGTAGTATTTATTTCGTAATTGTTTTACCAAAAGATAACTTGAAAGTCGTAGGTACTTGTATAATTGAGAAAGTAAGAGACTGGTTAATGTCTTCGTGGGGGGTGGACCGATGGCGTGATAAAAGGCGAATGGTAAGTGGTAAAAAATAGTGACGGTGGTGGTCTGTTTCACGGTGTAATGTAGCGAGTCGGGCGGTGCTTGTGCGCTAATAACTCGTGATATTGCCTGTTTAGATAATGCCGAATCATCCCTTCGTGAAGGGAGGACAATTTGGAAATCAAAGGTTTATCGGTGCAAGCTCAAGAGCTAAAAAAAAAAAAAAACGCACGGTGTACGGTAATATAACATTGTTATCTCACAATTGTGTATTAAGCGTCTATTTCTGCCGCAAATAAAATACAATTTCGGTGTCAAAGCTGTGATAATGGTTGGTGATGGTTGGTTGGTTGAGAATGGTCATTACGCTAAATTCACTTTGTTCTTTGCTATCTGCTTAGAATGGGCTAATACTTGGACTTTTCTACCAAACTTAGTCATATAAACACTAGTCCAGAACTATTGCTCATTTTTTCTAAAGTTTTATATTGAGATATAGAAATATCCGCATCTAAATTTTGTTTCCTTTCTTCGATAACGTGCAATTAGTGTGTCAACTATAGCGGTGCGTCAAATTACATTGTACAAATATTGTAATACAAACTTTTACTTCTTGCACTTATTCCAGATTATATGGGGTAGCATGTCCTTTTATGATGCTGCTGGGCGTGGCATGAGTTTTCCGACCGGCAGCCTGCCTGACGTCAACCCTTTTTCTTATTTTTAATTTTTTTTACTGCTTAGATGGTTGGACGAGCTCACAGCCCACCTGGTGTTAAGTGGTTACTGGAGCCCATAGACATCTACAACGGAAATGCGTCATCCACCTTGAGATATAAGTTCTAAAGTCTCAAGTATAGTTACAATGGCTGGCCCCACCCTTTAAAACGAACCGCATTATTGCTTCACGGCAGAAATAGCCAGGGTGGTGGTACCTACCCGCGCGGACTCACAAGAGGTCCTACCACCAGTAGACTTACCCTCCTTTAGTTATATCTCCTGTAGTATATCCATTTCAAAGTTTAATATGGAGTAGGTCTACTGTTTTTTCTTTTCATTATTCTTTTACATCATCCCTTTTTGCTTGCATGACTTGCATTTTATTATTATAAATATTAAAATATAGACTTTTCAGATATATTTATTCGTTTTTCTGTATTTTTATATTGAAGTCCATAAATATTACTATATTAACACATATTTCTGTGGATGTCTTAATAATATCTCAATGTTCAAACATGGTTACAAAATGATTGTTCGAGATTACAATGTTAATAAAGATGCAGGCTTTTATTTGTCTTTAAAGTATAAAAACATATCATGTCCTAAGTCAGACTGAGTTGCTTGGAATCTTTCATAAAACTTACTAAGCATATGAACATGCAAACGGCATTGTTTCCGTTTATGAAAATAGTAGGTAAGTATGGTATTGAAGTTGGAGAAAGTTGTTGGAAATCGATATCAACCAAATTTGGATATCAATCAGAGTTTGATCAAAAATAATAGCGTTAGCTATTTACAAACATATAAGAACATGGTTAGGTAGCTGTCTGGATTAGTGCAAACTTGGAAAAACTGATTAAGCTCCGAAATTTTAGGATAAAAATAAGAATTTTTCGTGTTTTTGGAGGTAAGCTTTTTACTTCCCTTTTATTTTCCCAATATTTAGCTTGTCATCGTTTGATTTTAGAAATTATTCAAAGGTTTGAATCGATGGAACCGAAAAGTCGCATAAGGTTATTCTAATTCAGAATTTATGGTACTTTACTTCTCTTCTTATATTTAAACAAAAACCTTTTGTTTTACGATCTCTTCTCATGCTTTGGAATTAAACAGCAAAGTGCCATAGGGTAGCACAAAATAAAATTAATTTAATTTATTGTAAATAAAAAAAAATATAAATAAAAAAAATTAATTAAATTAGATTAACTGGATTTTAACTTTGCTTTTTAGTATTCGCAAGTTAATACTTACTTTTTCCATTTATTGATTGACAAGGATGTTGCAAGGTGACATTCAACTACATGGCGGGAATTTCTTACAGAACAATTACCATGCCAAATATAATATACAAACTGTTTAAACAAGTGTCATACGTTGCTGTTTGTTGTATATGAGACACTTTGTTTTTTATGACAGTGCGTCAATTTTTATTTGTTGTATAAATGTGAGAACTAGAAATTCTAGAGTTTATATTTACAATAATAACAATATGCATTTGTGTTTCAATCTGTTATGGTAGAGGAGTATTAAATTGAATGTCTCATGAACGTCATTTAATACGTCTGCTAATTAAAAGAATTAATGAAATAAACAAAATGATTAATTATTACAAAATAATAAATTCAGAATGCAAAATATTGAAGGGTTAGAAACACCTTATACTCGTGAAATCTGATCTTGTCCCACGGCCATTGTTAAATTTGTAAAATACACCTATCTGTTAAAGTATTCGCGCAGTGCAATCGTATATTGACGTTACTGTGATAAAGACTGGGTGCCCTGTGTGCTGACAACAATTGTATCGAATTTCAACTTATATACTTAGTCTGGCCATAAATACTGTTACAATTAAAAATAAACAACATATTACATTTGAATTTGGATCTGTCATTTTTCTATGATTTCTCATTGAGTTTTCTCATTTTGGCGCCAATACATTGTACAATATTTTGCGATATTAAAATGGAGTGGGGTGATAGAGAGAACCGAATCGCTGTGATTGCATTACACAAAGTAGGTATGGAGCCAAATGCAATTTTTAAAAAACTCCATACGCTTGGTATTAGTAAAATGTTTGTGTACCGGGCTATTAATAGGTGCAATGAGACCTCCCCTGTTTGTGACAGAAAAAGATCTGTTGACGGAACATAGTGTTCGTACGAAAAAGGTGGTCAAAGCAGTAAGGGAAAGAAATTCGAAGAAATCCTGTCCGAAAGCAAAAGATTTTATCTCGGGAGATGAAGATAGCACCTAGAACCATGTCGCGTATTTTAAAAGATGACTTAGCACTTGCAACCTATTAGAGACGTACTGGTCTTTTCTTAACTGATAATTTAAAAGAGAATAGGGTGATAAAATCGAAACAACTACTGAAGCAGTACGCAAAGGGAGGTCATAGAAATTTTTTGTTTACGGATGAGAAAATTTTTACAATTGAGCAACATTTTAACCAACAAAATGACCGTATTTATGCTCAAAGCTCTAAGGAAGCTTCCCAATTAGTCGACAGAGTGCAACGTGGGCACTACCGACTTCAGTGATGGTTTGGTGGGGTATTAGCTATGAAGGAGTGACTGAGCCATACTTTTGTGAAAAAGGTATCAAAACATCGGCACAAGTGTATCAAGATACCATTCTTGTGAAGGTAGTGAAGCCCCTTAACAACACCATGTTCAATAATCAATAATGGTCCTTCCAGCAAGACTCGGCACCAGGTCATAAAGCTCGGTCTACGCAGTCTTGGTTGGAAACGAACGTTTCGGACTTCATTAGAGCTGAAGACTGGCCGTCGTCTAGTCCCGATCTTAATCCGCTGGATTATGATTTATGGTCAGTTTTAGAGAGTACGGCTTGCTCTAAACGCCATGATAATTTGGAGTCCCTAACACAATCCGTACGATTGGCAGTGAAAAATTTTCCCATGGAAAGAGTGCGTGCTTCTATTGATAACTGGCCTCAACGTTTAAAGGACTGTATTGCAGCCAATGGAGACCATTTCAAATAAGCTTTTTATACTTTAAATTGTTTTATATTTATGTATTAAACTAACACACTGTAAAAGTAATAAATGTTATTT